CATATGGGCTTGAGTTTTGATATAACCTTTAGATGAGGGATGGAGGAACAATAGATTTTTCCAGTGCTAAATTTACTGTATAATAACAGTATAAATATAATTTGTACTATGATAAGATAGGATAATTCTTTATTACAACCTTATAGAATGAATTACATATCTATTTTGGTTTATAAAATGTAATAAAGGTGTTAAAATAAACATAACAAGTTAGATATCTAAAATCTACTACAATACAGTTACATTAAAACCAGATATAACACACATGAACCGAACCAGTACCTATACCAGTGTGAATTACCTCTATCAAACAAAACTAAAGTGGATCAACAGAAGAATTTTCTCATCCAAATTTTTCTTCATTTTTTCTTATATTCTTAAATATTTCTTGAAATGAATCCTAATTTTGGAGCCAATAAACAAAATTTGTGTCAATTTTCATTTTTCAATCAAAAAATTCGATTCATTGTCTCTGCAGACCGTAAACAGGACTATTTTATGAATTTGTGAAGAAAACAGGGAACTGATGGGTGAAAAGGTTAAACTTTAGAATTCAACCTGTCATCAGCCCCATATTTTTTAGCATATATACATATTACAATGGTTTGTAGAATGTGATTATCAGTGCCATAGCTATCGCTGTTAAGACAATTTTTGTGTGTGCATTTACAGGAACAATGTCATGTCCAAAGACACTAAAAAATACGTTATTGTCTTCGACATGACCAAGAGAGGTAAAAATATACATGTATAGATTGTAGATGTGTTGAAAGCATAGTATCAACTGTTATTTCACCAGAGATATAAAGTACATTGCCAACAAAAGAGTACATTCTATTCTACATTTATTTGAACATGGCATACATTGTACATACATTACTTAATACGAAAGCATGCATTCGTTTAGAGAACACAATCACAAATATATTTGAGACAACAAAAGGTGTGAGACAAGGCTGTGTTATAAGCCCCACACTATTTAATTTATATGTGAATGATATGAGTGAATACTTGGAAGACAGATCCCTTGATCAGGTCACACTACACAACACTAAAATTAGCTCGCTACTTTACGCTGATGATCTGGTACTAATTTCAATAACATAAAAAGGCCTACAAAATGCATTAAATAAACTGCAAGATTATTGCCAAACATGAAAAATCAAAGTAAATCTTGCGAAAACTAAAATTCTTATATTCAGAAGGGGAACACTACAAAGAAATGAAAAATTCTATTATCAAAATGAGAAACTTTGCTGTGTCAACTTATACAATTATCTTGGGATAATCTTTCAGTTTAATGGTAAATTGACAGAAGCTGGAGACAACTTAGCAGATAAGGCAATCAAAGCCATGTATGCACTAAAGCAGTCTTTACCAAAAGAAACAGACTGTAAAACATACATCCATCTGTTTAATATATGTATCAAACCAATTTTACTGTATGGATATGAAATTTGGGGAATGGAAAATATGAGTAACAATAACTGGAACAAAATTAAAACAGAAAAAGTTCATCTAAAATTCAGTAAACACCTACTTGGGCTTAATAAAAACACAGCAAATGATGCATCTGAAATTGGAGCATTTCCATTGATAACTGAAGTGAAAATTAATATGATTAAGTTCTGGTCCTATGTCATAGTCACAAAATAATTATACAAAGATAGCGTTAAGTGATTAGACTTTGTCAAAAGCACAATGAGAAACATCAGTCAAAAATATCTTGAAAGATGTAGAATATAAAACATCACAACTATCTCATCAAAATATTAAGGAAATTAGCAGCACTATTAAACAACAATACATAACATACTGGAGAGAGAATATGACAAATGAAAAAACAAAACTGAGAACATACATTCAATTTAAAATGAATTACAATCATGAAAATTACCTTAATGTTTTGAATAATAATCAAAGAATATCAATGGCTAGATTCAGGACAAGTATTCATAATCTAAGCCATTGAAAAAGGCAGACATACCAATCCAAAAACCCCATTAGAAAATAGAATTTGTAAACAGTGCCCATTACAGGAAGTTGAAGACGAACTACACTTTCTTTTAGTTTGCCCATGATATCAAACAGATAGAAATGATTTTATTTCCAGTATTTTATTTCATTTCAAAGAAGTCATTACCAACTAGCAAAAATTCACATATTTAATGAAAAGTAATGACAGAAATATAATTAAAATTTTAGGGGAATTTCTGCATAAATCATTCATTTTAAGAAATGAGCTTTCTTTGGATATAATGCCTGGACTTTTATTTATTTATTTTTTTTTGCAATAAGGATTTTATTATTACATCACTTATTGCAACATTGATGCATTTTTTATTGAGATATATACTGAATGATGTGCATTCAAGTGTTTTCTTTCTGTATTGTACAAGTTTTAACTTTTACTTTCCGATAAACAATGGAAATTATATAATAAAAATACTATTATCCTACTGTAACTCCCCTTCTAAAATCTATTCAAATGTAAAAGAGATTTGGGTAAAGATACAAGAAAAAACAAACTACAATTCTCTAAATACAACAGGGTCTATTGTACATCTTAATTCCTATTAAATTCAATGCCCAGCATTTAGAATATTATGTGAATTCTAAATCTGCAATTATCACTATCGCTACACTAATGTCTAATACTCACAGTGCAACAAAGGTATTCCCTTCATCTTTATTGTCGTTCATAGGATTAAGGTCATACAAATTAAAATTTGTAGATGAAAGGAGGACAGCATGGACACACACTGAAAGGTAATGTAATGATAACGGTCACATATTTAATGGATGTTCTGGGGTAAGAGGTTTGAGACCCCCCCCCCCCCATTCCAAATTCTACAAGCATAACATTGAATATTATTGCAGTTATCTAAATGTGAATTCCCACTTACATTTGCCAGTGTAGAGACTTATTATATCATCTCCAAATGTCCCTTTACGGGATTTTTCACGTGTCACCTCAATGCCGAAATCTTTACTCTTATCTTTCAAAACCGATATGAAACACTCCATAAAGTCTTTGTCATTAGATGCTGTTACAGTGGAATCTGAATTGTGTACAAGTCTCAGAAATTGCGGAAGGAATTTATGACAAAAAGATTCATAATAATATGGCCCAATATTAATAAATGTTCTACGACTCTCATCGAGAGAGTATTGCTCAATTTTTATGTGATTTTCCAATAGCTGGTTCAAAAGTTTGAAGATGGGTGAAATATCTGGTGCTATTAAAACACTATATACAAATTTATCAGCATTAAGACAAACTGTTAATGGTACATATGTAATTGATGCTCTTATTGAAGAGATATTTAACAGTTTGAATACCTCAATACATTGTTGATCAAAAAATATATCAGAAGAATATAAACACAATTCTGTGTACACTTTCTGAAATATTGACATATTTTCCTGAATTAATGGAATATAGTTTCTACTACGGTGTAAAGTGATAGCTTCTAATGATTGCAAGTTGCTGAAGAATGGAAGAAACTAAATGTCTATCGTTATCGGAAGAACTTTTAACAGAAGTAATAGTGTTTGCAAACATTCTTTCTTTAACCAACCTATCCAAAGCAGCTACGTGTTTACATTTTGTGCCTGAGGTTAAGTCTAAGATGCACTTTTTTGATGAGAACCGCTCTGACCAACTCTTTGCATAATACTGATAACCATTGGAAACTAACAAACATTCTATAAATGTGCTGTCAGAGGATCCAGATAATACTGGTTGTCCACTTGGACAATGATGTGTCGTGAGATGATAGACAAATATATTAAATAGTTCTTTAAGTTTGTCGGTGTCATTTTTGTCTGTAAATAAAACACACAAGTACACTAATATGACAGGAGGCCAAAATAAGCGTGAGCGGGAAATTCCAATTATAGCTTCCTTTCTTTCCAACTCATCTGTAAGTGAATATACATATTGAGCAGCTAATGCTTCTTGTATTGCCTTATGTGGAAAGACATACAAGTCATTTTCATCTCCAGTAATGGTAACACTGAGCTCTTTCATAAATAATCCTGTCTGAAACAAGACATCATCAGCTTTTAAATCGGATGAAATGATATTATTTATATCTTTCAGTGTGAACATGTGTTTTCTTTGCATCAATCCCCTAAAAGCTATCATTCTGGTTCTGTCTTTGCATTCAGTCAACTCAGATTTGTGTTGTGCTGAAAATCTGTTGAACAGACAATCTGACAACATTCTGACCAATTGATAGAAATTAATGTCAGGGTTACTGATCATCTCACCTTTCTCTTCTATTAAAAAGCAAAGAATGATACACATTAAGGGATTTCGTAATAAATCTTCAATATTCGAAAAATGCTCTAAGACTTTTAAATCAAATATATTGAAAAGGTCTGGTTTAGATTTAAAATGTTCTTTTATTAATGAAACTGCAGTCTCCTGAGTAAAGCCTAAATTTATAATTTTTCTGTCAAAATAATTTGTCTCAGGATCTAACAAATCCTCCATGCATGGACGAGATGTTATTATCACAGTTGATTTGCGAAAGATATCAGCTTTTATTAGTTTCACAATTTCACTTTCATTAGATATAGAAAGCTCATCTAAACCATCAATAACCCAAAGTATGTCTTCATTGTTGTTCTTCAAATATTCCCACATTTCATCACAATCAATGGCTTCAGATATCAAACCCTGTCCTCTTAACTCTTCTTTAAGACTCTTACTACATTTTTTCCCTTCCAGTAAAAAAATAAATTTAAATCTATCATTAATATATTCTTTCTGACTTTGCCAATCATGAGCAAGTCTTCTGCATAATGAGGTCTTGCCAATACCGGCCTCCCCTTCAATCAGTATACGTCGTGGGGTTTCTGCATCATCAGATGAGATGAATATCTTCTCAAGATCAATGTCTTTGTCTTCTGATTCTACCCTGTTATAAATATGCAATTATAATCATTTAATGGAAGTTTTATATGCACATATACTCGTACTACTGTGAGTACACTTCAACGTTGTCGTTTAGCCATAAAAAATAAAACAATTTTGTCACAAACAAGCATTTTGCGATGAAAGCACAGTCTCAGTTTTGTGTTTAATTACATTAAGACCATAAGCATATAGAAGTATGTTGTTCGTTATGAAGTGGACAATAAGAGTATGTTTTTATACTTTATTAGCTGGCACGCCAACTGATTGGTCGTGACTGTAGGTGAATGAATCTTATTCGTATTTATTGTTACTCATAAAATGACCAAAGCACCTAATTTTTTTTTTCATTCTCAACAATACACATTTAAAATTCATTTAGCTTCTACTCCTGTGCATAAACATTTTTTACATTGCTGTTTTATAGCTCCAATAATTGCACATATGCAAGTACCTTGTAGATTTTGATAATCAAATTAATGTGCTTGCATGATTACTCCTCACTATTAACAAACAAACAAAATCAAACAACACATGACCAAGATCTGGTTTAGGACACGTCAAAATACCTGATTATAGCCTCTTGTTACATATATCAACTAAAATGGTCAGCATTGGCCATCTTTGAGCAGATGATAAAATCATTGTATGTGCACACGTATGCTATGATGTGCTTTCTTTGTATAACGTTTGAAGTGAGATTAACATATAACACAAATTTGTCAAAAACAAAATGGTCACCAGTCAGCCATCTTGAGTCGATTTTTACAAATCAAAGTGGTGTGCATCAACTACCCATAATGGTTAATCCTTCCACCAAGTTTGAAGTAAATCAGCCAGCACATGATGTATTATTACAACATAAATTGCTGCCAGTCGGCCATCTTTAATCAAATCATGAATGTGTAGCAGACTAGGTGTTAAGTATATGAGAGTGATTTAAAAAGAATCAGTCATGATACATTGTATGCCTGAGATACAGCTCTAGATGCATGCATGCACAGTGACTATACACTGTGCACATTTCAGAGTATTTACTAAAAATTAATTGATATAGTCATGACATGAATAAATGACATGAATAAATCTGATATCAATATCAAAGCAATTGGGCAGGTAGTTTTCTAATAATAAGTAAACAAAAAAAAATAATTATTACTCGTCAAAATATTATATTCTATAATATTATTATATTATACTTGTATAAAGTTTGGTTAAAGGCCGTTGTTATGTTCTCATGCAACTATACATTCATTGAAAACAATCACAAAAATTATCATAAAATGTAAATGTACTTTCATTCACTGCAAGATTATGCGTTACGGGTGAAATCGAAGGTAAAAACAGGACAAAGGTTATTGCATCATAGTGGCTTCAACACATCAGATGAGATTTGACAAACATATGTTGAGGGTATTTCCATGCCTAATACTGTGCTATACAAATGTGATGGTCAATTTTGATGAAGCAAAGGTACTTCAAAGTCATATTTCTTTCTGAAAGATTGGCATTTCAACATTGAGTTATAACAAACAAGTCATTGTTAATGACATACATGTAGTCCCCTGTTGGAATTAGGGGAAATGTTATTCATGCCAAAAAGTACCGGTAATATGTACCAACAGCATACCAGCATACTAGTACTTAATAAGTTTAATAGAGTGAATAGTTGGCTGATTCAGTATCAACAGAATATATAGATGTGTTAAATGACTTTTCCAAAATAATTCATGCATTTTTTGTATCCAAACTGAATTTCATTTCTCCATGCAGGCTTATGTACAGACATACAAAACATGAAAAGAATCATCATGGACATGTATCTCAACATGTATAATGTTTGTATCATGTTTGAAAACCAACAAATCCTGTCCAAGATACCACCAAGATTTAAAAAAAAAGATGGATGCCAGTCGGCCATGTTTGATCTGATTATAGAACAAACTGACATGAACATGTATTCCTATATGTATGATGCATTTGCCAAATATGAATGAAAATGGTTCATAAGCCTTGGAGATATAGTAGTATGATCAAAAAGCCGCCAGTCGGCCATCTTTGATCTGATTGTGAAACAAACATGAATTCTAATATGAATGATGTATACTAGTATGTCAAATATGTCAAATGGTTCCTAAGCGTCTTGGAGATATAGTAGTATGATAAAAAACAGTCATCTTTCAAATTGATTAAATCAGTAAACCACTGCATGTGCATATGTCCCAGATAAAGTACTAGGCACATGCAAATATTTCATCCACAGAATTCTGAAATAGGCCTCTGGAGAGACGGAGACCGAATTATGAGTTCTAATGGGGATTGAAGCAAGTTCGAAATTAAATCATTCAAATTTTGCTGGTCAGCACCTTTCACACAATATGTTAGATTTCTCAGTGAACGGAAAATGAGCAGAATCTATAAGGACCAGTTTTTATATACTAGCTGTCAAAGCTAGAACACAACTTCATACTTACATCCATTGATCTGACTTGCCACGTTTTCTTTGAATCTCTCTTTGTTTTCTATCAACCAATTTGAGAACAGAATAAGTTTTATTCAGATCCACTTCATGATTTCTCTTCCCTGGAATTGGTTGTACATATTTTATCCTCTTATAGTGACAATCCAATTCTTCTCTTAACTTGACTTCCAATTCTTTATCTATATCACAGAAATAAGAAAACCTTACTTTTATGGGTTTAACTAATAGTCCATATATGAAGACAAAAGACAAAAATATAATAGCATTCATGTGATTTGAGATAAGCTTTGACCATTTTCGTCAAATTTACAAAAGCTGAAATGAAAACAAGCTATCTATTAGTCAAAATAAATGTGGCCATCTAATCTGTTGATTCACACAATTCAGAACTAATGTGATGTGACATCATTAGTGCTATAGTAAACTGTTGTAAAATATTGCCTGCCAATATCTAAGCAACAACATTCTACATATCAAACATACAAAATATATATAGCATTATTTGCAATTAATCATGGTTTTCAAAAAAGCCAGACCTATAAATTACTAAGCAGTTGCACCTGTACAAATTCTGAATGACTTATTTTGTTCAAATGAACCATTGCAAATATGTGTGGTGAAAATACACTTTTTCAGTGTGTTTTACTCTCTTGAATCTAGAAAGCAAAAAAAATATACAATGCACGCACCTCTCTTAGTTTTCTTGGTTGAATGGTGGTACTGCAACACAAATGAGTATAAGGAAATGTAAACATTTTTGTAAAATCTATAATACACCTATAACATATCTGTTAAAGCGGGAGGGTGGTGATCTGCGGGAACTAGAGTTTCAAGCGACGATAACAACACACGCTAAAAACATAAACATCATGGGTAGACGCTTGTTTGTAAACATTGACACGCTATGGCCATCTGACGCATGCATACGTGATGACTCCCCCGCTTTAACTAATAATGACAAGTCATTGTCAATGACACGTCCCCGTTCCGTTCATATTTGAGTGACATATACCTTCAAAGCAGATCATGGCCGAAATCTCAGACCACTTTCAGTGGTCTGATCCGAAATGCACCTGCATATGTATAACACATTGTATGATGTGTGTGAAGTGTGGTCTTGATCTGTCCAGGCATGCCTGAAATATGGATGCTGAACTGTATTCAGTTAAAACCCGATTTGGAAAACAAAACGTGATTCAAGGTACCATAATGTACAATGTATGCATGAAGTGTGAACTAAATTCACCCATGGTGAATATGTGCAATTTTGACGAATTTTTGACCTTTGATGGATGTTATGTGAAGTTTGAACTTGATCTGTCCAGGCATGTCCGAGATATGGATCGAAAACTAAATTCTTTAAAACAAAATGACCGCCAGTCGGCCATTTTGAACTTGATCCGAAGAAAAATTGGTGTGCATCAAGCTTATATTATGTTTAATATATGCACTAAATCTGAACAAAATCCATCCATGCATGACTGAGATCCGGTTCCGGAATTGTGAAAATACGTGATTTTGATGCATTTTCAGCCTTAAAATGGCCATCATTCAGCTATGTAAGC